GATTTCGAAGACGACAAGGGGAAAAGCCATGAAAGAGGGGAAGAAGAAGAAGTCAGAAACCTCCATTGGTGTATCTAACGATGATTCGATATCAGCTCTTGGGGCATTTTCTGTTTATTCGATTACTGGGTTGTTTCTAGCCGTCGGATTCTGGGTAGCCCGAAACAAATATTCCGTCGATCTCGTATCTGATCCATCTCTTACCCTACGTATCATCTCGGTACTACACTGCACTTCTTTTTCTGTTTTATGTGTTGTTTAAAAAGTGGATTATCACTGAAATGAGCTATTGTTTTGATGTTTGATTTTTTTTTTTTTTCAGAGTATTGAGTTTACGGTTGTGGTAATCATATACAGCTTGTTCCGGAAAAACCCAGAGAAATGTTCGGTGAGTTTAGTTCACTTGTGATTTTTCTGTGAAATTGAAGTGATTAAGAAGCTGAATTTTCTCCTTTCACTCGCAATTACAGAATTTGAAGAAATACTTTGCTTTACATAGAGAATAATTAATGCGTTTGGTTTCTTGTGCTTCTCTCTTTTAATGGTTTCCTGCTTGCTTTCCAGTATTTTAACGCACTTGGACGAAGCATATTAGGACTAATTTCAGGTCAGTGTTTTTGTTTTTAAACTTATTATAGTTGGTGCTTTGTCATTCTTGTGCAGTACATGAACAAAAAAAAAATCAATTGGTTAGTGTTAGTGAGTTCACTTGTAAAATTCAAGTTGATTAGCTTGACCTGGCCGTGGGAATGATCACTTAGTTTACGGACTTAGCAATATGTATTAGCTCATCTGATTGATTTACTGTTTTCAATATCCTTTGATGGTGAGTTCTCTAACCTTTGATTTGTTTGTATAATAGGCGCTTTTATAAATGCCTTGGGAGCAATTGCTTTGGGTGCACCTATCGGAATGCAGTATGTTTTCACCAAAGATATTGTTTGGTTTTTTTTTTTGGAAATATTGCTTGTTATCTGGACTTTTCATTGATTGTGATCACCCTTTTTCATGGAGATTGCATGATTTTCAAATGTTGACATGAGCAATACCTGTCCTCTTAATGCAGATCTCTGACAAAAACAATTCACTGGTCCGTTCTAATGTCTGTTTTCACGGTACGCTGCTTGATGCAGTTCCAGTGACTGAAAAATCTAATGATTTTTTTTCTTCTTCTGCAGTTTGACCTTTGATTATACTTAATAATGTTGATTCATAGTTTGTACCAGCAACTGCAGTTTTTGGTGCATCATGGGCAGATTGGCATCGTGTGTTTGCTTCGATGAAGTATGTTACTTATGTTAGCATTATATTCACACAATCTCTGTTTTATAGATGCAAAAACTCAATGTCTCACTTGCGTCTTTTTGTTTCTTTTAGACCAGTTGGAAATATAGAATATATGGTCTTTGTTCCAGCATACGGAGCTATTGTTGGAGGATGGTTTGGAGCTTGGCCTATGCCGCTCGACTGGGAAAGGCCATGGCAGGTAATATCTCGTTTATCTCAATATATATATAGTCAGGAGCTTGGTTCTTGTTCTTGGTCATGGTTTTCGCGGTTATTGCAGAATAAGTGGTGAGTATATATATATACATATAACTAATCCTTATATTAACTCTTATAACAGGAGTGGCCTATATATGTGTGCTATGGAGCTATAGGAGGATACATTGTTGGACAGATTGTCTCCTTGAGTTTGATGCTATTCATCAGGAAACACAAGAATTTGAAGCTAGCTTAGAATTAGATTGTTGGTCTCTAGATCTGCAAGAACGAGTTTCACTTTATTTTGACTTTGATTCCTAGTCGAGGCAAGTTTTTTGTTGTTGTTATTTTCCACTGAGAATAAAGTGTTTCAGAATTGCAAAACATCTTTTAGTCTGTTTTGAGATCTAGATTGTGCATCACAGATATTTAGATATACTCTAAAACCACAAAATAAGAGCTCATTTGAAATCATACGAATTATTGGGCTAGGCTCAATTAGGTAGTTAAGTTCAAGAGAAATTTTTAAAAATGTCACATACTCTATGCCACTTTACAAAAGTGCCATATTTTTAAAAGTTTTATAAAAATGTCACACTATTTTATTCAGATTCTTAATTTACCCTCTTTGTAAACAGATCTCTCTCCTCGATCTCGATCTCTCTCACACACACAGAGATCATAAATCTGCGTGGTCGGAAGTGATGGAGATTTCTTCTTACGCTTTCTACGACAACGATCGGGATTGGATGCAGTCGTCGGATTTGATACTGGAGAAATCGAATCCATTGATCGCCGATCATAATCTGGAATCGGAGAAACTTGTAACTGCTGGATCCGAATCG